GTAGTAGCAGTATTGATAGTAGTAGTAGTAGTAGTAGTAGTAGTAGTAGTAGTAGTAGTAGTCGTAGTAGTAGTAGTAGTAGTAGTAGTAGTAGTAGTAGTAGTAGTAGTAGTCGTAGTAGTAGTAGTAGTAGTAGTAGTAGTAGTAGTAGTAGTAGTAGTAGTAGTAGTAGTAGTAGTAGTAGTAGTAGTAGTAGTAGTAGTAGTAGTAGTAGTAGTAGTAGTAGTAGTAGTAGTAGTAGTAGTAGTAGTAGTAGTAGTAGTAGTAGTAGTAGTAGTAGTAGTAGTAGTAGTAGTAGTAGTAGTAGTAGTAGTAGTCGTAGTAGTAGTAGTAGTAGTAGTAGTAGTAGTAGTAGTAGTAGTAGTAGTAGTAGTAGTAGTAGTAGTTGTAGTAGTATTTCTAACAGCAGTAGTAGTCGTAGTGGTAGGACTAGTAGGAGGAGTAGTCGTCGTCGTCGTTTTTGTTTTTGTAGTAGTGGTAGTAGTAGTAGTAGTAGTAGTAGTAGTAGTAGTAGTAGTAGTAGTAGTAGTAGTAGTAGAAGTAGAAGTAGTAGTAGTAATAGTAGTCGTAGGCGTCGTCGTAGTGGTAGTCGTGGTGGTAGTAGTAGTAGTAGTAGCAGTAGTAGTAGTAGTAGTAGTAGTAGTAGTAGTAGTAGTAGTAGTCGTAGAGGTGTAGTGAATAGTAAGTAATGGGTGGCAAGGCGAACCCAGTAAGTGGTAAGATGTAGTTGTAGTAGTGGTACTAGTACTAGTAGTCGTACCAGCAGCAGTAGTAGTAGTAGTAGTCGTCGTAGTCGTAGTAGTAGTCGTAGTCGTCGTATTCCCCGGTGCAGTAGTAGTAGTAGCAGTAGTCGTCGTTGTCGTCGTCCTTGTCGGTAGTAGCAGAAATAGTCGTAGTCGTGGTAGTAATGGTACTCGTAGTAGGAGTAATAGTGGTAGTAGTAGTATTAGTAGTAATAATTATAGTAGTAGTAGTAGCAGTAATAGCAGTAGTGGTAGTAGTAGTAGTAGTAGTCGCCTTTTTAGTTGTAGTAGTAGTAGTAGTAGTAGTAGTAGTTGAAGTGGTAGTAGTAGAAGTAGTAGTTGTAGTTCTAGTAGTAGTAGCAGTAGTCGTAGTAGTAGTAGTAGTAGTAGTAGTAGTAGTAGCAGTCGTAGTAGTAGTGGTGGTGGAAGAACTAGTAGTGATGGCAGTAGTATTACCAGTAGTAGTAGAAGAAGTAGTAGAACAATTCGAATTACTTGTCGTTGCAGTAGTAGTAGTAGTAGTAGTAGTAGTAGTAGTAGTAGTAGTAGTAGTAGTAGTTGTAGTAGTAGTAACCGTCGTTGTGCTAGTAGCCGTAGTAGTAGGAGTAGTAGTAGTAGCAGCAGTAGTAGTAGTCATGATAATAGTAGTTATAGTCGTAGTAGTAGTGGTATTCGTAGTGTTAGTAGTACTAGTAGTAGTAGTTGTAGTAGTAGTAGTAGTAGTAGTAGTAGTAGTAGTAGTAGTAGTAGTAGTAGTGGTAGTAGTAGTAGTAGTAGTAGTAGTCGTAGTAGTAGTAGTAGTAGTAGTAGTAGTAGTAGTAGTAGTAGTAGTAGTATTAGTAGTATAGTAGTAGTAGTAGTAGTAGTAGCGTGGTAGTAGTGTGTAGTAGTAGTAGTAGTAGGTAGTAGTAGTAGTAGTAGTAGTAGCGGTGGTTAGCTGTCGTAGTAGTCGTATTCGTAAGTAGTAGTAGTAGGAGTTATTCGTATGTAGTAACAGTAGTAGTAGTAGTCGTAGTAGTAAAAGTAGCAGTAGTAGTAGTATAAGTAGTTGTAGTAGTAGTAGTAGTAGTAGTGGTAGTAGTGGTCGTATCCTATCGTAGCAGTAGTAGCAGTAGTAAGTAGTGTTGTAGTGTAGTAGTAGTAGTAGTAGTGAGTGAGTAGTAGTAGTAGTAGTAGTATAGTAGTAGCCGTTGTAGTAGTAGTAGTAGTAGTAGTAGTAGTAGTAGTAGTAGTAGCCGTAGTAGTAGTTGTAGTTGTAGTAGTAGCCGTAGTAGTAGTAGTAGTAGTAGTAGTAGTAGTCGTCGTCGTAGTAGTAGTAGTAGCAGTAGTAGTAGCAGTAATAGTAGTAGTCGTAGTAGTCTAGTAGTAGTAGCAGCAGCAGCAGTAGTACTAGTAGTAGTAGTAGTAATAGTAGTAGCAGTCGTAGTAGTAGTCGTAGTAGTAGTAGTAGTAGTAGTAGTAGTCGTAGTAGTAGTAGTAGTAGTAGTAGTATTAGTCGTAGTAACAGTAGTAGTGGTAGTAGTTGTACTAGTAATCGTAGTAGTAGTTGTAGTAGTAGTAGTAGTAGTAGTAGTCGTAGTCGTAGTAGTCGTAGTCGTATTAGTGGTGGTAGTCGACTTCGTAGTAATAGTATGTAATAGTAGTCGTAGTCGCAGTAGTCGTAGTAGTAGACGTAGTAGCAGTAGTAGTAGTAGTAGTAGTAGTAGTAGTAGTAGTAGTAGTAGTAGTAGTAGCAGTAGTAGTAGTAGTAGTAGCAGTAGTAGTATAACTAGTAGTAGCAGTAGTAGTAGTAGTAGTAGTAGTAGTAGTAGTAGTAGTAGTAGTAGTAGTAGCAGTAGTAGTAGTAGTAGTAGTAGTAGTAGTAGTAGTAGTAGTTGTAGTAGTAGTAATCTGAATATTCGTAGTAGCACTAGTGGGAGGTGTAGTCGGTTGTCGTAGTAGTAGTAGTAGTAGTGGTAGTAGTAGTAGCAGTAGTAGTAGTAGTAGTAGTAGTAGTAGTAGTAGTAGTAGTCGTAGTAGTAGCAGTAGTAGTAGCAGGAGTAGTAGTAGTAGTAGTAGTAGTAGTAGTAGTAGTAGTAGTAGTAGTAGCAGTCGTAGTAGTAGTAGTAGTAGTAGTAGTAGTAGTAGTAGTAGTAGTAGTCGTCGGCGTCGTCGTCGTCGTCGCCGGCGTAGTAGTCGTAGTAGTAGTCGTAGTAGTCGTAGACGTAGTAGTAAAGGGAGTAGTAGTAGTAGTAGTAGTAGTAGTAGTAGTAGTAGTGGGCATAGTAGTAGTAGTGGTAGTAGTCGTCGTCGTCGTCGTCGTATTAGTCGTAGTAATCGTAGTAGTATTCGTAGTAGTAGTGGCCGTAGTAGTCGTTGTGGTAATTTGTAGTAGTAGTCGTAGTAGTAGTCGCAGTAGTAGTAGTAGTAGTAGTAGTAGTAGTAGTAGTTGTTGTAGTTGTAGTAGTAGCCGTAGTAGTAGTAGTAGTAGTAGTAGTAGTAGTAGTAGTAGTAGTAGTAGTAGTCGTAGTCGTAGTCGTAGTAGCAGTAGTAGTAGTACTTGTAGTCGTAGTCGTAGTAGGAGTAGTAATAGTAGTAGTAGTAGTAGTAGTAGTAGTAGT